TGTTTTTTTTGCTTTTTTTGTTTGGGTTTTTTGGTTCATATTTGGGATGTTTTGCAGACACAAACAGGGAGGGCAGCTCGGGGCCGTGACCTTCCCGAGCCAGGGGGATCATGAGGGGTCCAGGAAGGGCAGCTCAGAATTAATTAACTTCTATATGGAATTAATTCACTTCTATATGGAATTAATTCATCCTGCATGGATTTATGTTTGCCCTATACAGATTTACATTTGTCCTGCAGGGATTTTTTTTCTGTCTTATATGGATTTATTTCTCTTACAGGGATTTTATTTGTCCTACAGGGATTTTATTTGTCTGATATGGATTTATTTTTCCTAGATGGATTTAATTGTTCTAGAGGGATTTCATTTGTCCTATAGGGATTTATGTTTGTTCTATAGGGATTTTAATTCTCCTATAGAGATTTTATTTGTCCTACAGGGATTTATGTTTGGTTTATAGAGATTTTATTTGTCCTATGGGGATTTTATTTCTCCTACAGGGATTTTATTTGTCTTATAGGGATTTATTTTTCCTAGATGGATTTAATTGTTCTAGAGGCATTTTATTTGTCCTATAGGGATTTTATTTCCCCTATAGGGATTTTATTTCTCCTATAGGGATTTTATTTCTCCCATAGGGATTTATTTGTCCTATAGGGATTTAAATGGAAACTCTGCAGGCCTTGGAAAACAGGGATTTGGGATCCAAGAATGGGAACACCCCAGGCATCCTCCCAGCTCTGTGGGGCCCAGGGAACGATCCCAAATATCCCAGAGCTGCTCCAGCCTCTCCCAGCTCTGTGGGGCTGAAGGAATGACCCCAAATACCCCAGAGCTGCTGATCCCAGCGGATCCCTGGCCAGCCCAGCCCTCCCAGATGTGTTTGGCCGCGTGTCCATGGAGGTGTCAGAGCAGTCCAGGGACAGGAGGGAACGTCGGGATGAGGAAACGCTTCAGAGTTTCCAGCCCTGCTCCGAATGAATCCTTTAACCTTTTCCAAGCCCTTTTTTTCCAGTGGCTGTAAAGAGCTCGGAGCCTCCTTGTGCCCAGGCAGCCCCTCCCAGAGGGAATTAGGGAATTTGGGATTTAGGGGTTTGGGAATTCAGCGCTTGGGGTTTGTAGGGAAGGGGATGGAGCCCTCAGTCTGAGGCCAGAGGGGACCCAGAGGCACTTCTGGGGGGCCGGGGGTTTGGGATGGGCTGTGAGGATAGGATTCCGTGGGGCTGGGAATCTGGGATGGGCTACAGGGACATTCTGTGGGGCTGGGAGTTTGGGATTTGTGTGAGGATTCCATGGGGCTGGGAGTTTGGGATGGGGTGAAAGGATTCCATGAGCTGTGAATCCAGGATGGGCTACAAGGATTCCATGGGGCTGGGAGTTTGGGATGGGCTGTGAGGATTTTCTGTGGGGCTGGGGGTTTGGGATGGGCTGGAGGGAAAGGATTCCATGGGCTGGGAATCCAAATGGGCTACAAGGATTCCATGGGGTTGGGGGTTTGGGATGGGCTGTGAGGATTCCATGGGGCTGGGAGTTCGGGATGGGCTGTGAGGATTTTCCATGGGGCTGGGAACTGTCAGGACCGAGCCCACCCCACAGCAACCCACAGACCCAGAGACACCAGGCAGGAACCACGTGAGATTCCAAGCTTGGAATTGGGGTGGGATGGGAGAAAACACTGCCCCAGCATCTCCCAGCCTTTCCCAGCCTGGGACAGGAAGGGACAATGCGGGATTTGGGATTTGCTGCCCCTCCCTCGGCTCGCCCCATGCCGGGGAAGCTGTGGAGCAGCTCCCATGGAATCCTGGTGGCTCCAGGAGCTCCGGGAGCATCCAGCAGGGCCGGCTCAGCCCCGCTCAGAGTTTCCAGCAGCTCGCTCGGCTGTTGCTCCGTCTCCGGGTGACCGAGTCCCTCCAGATTCCCTCAAATCTCGCTCCAAGAATGTTGTTTGGGCTGAAGAATGCGCGGCTGGGAAGGGAAAAGGGAAAAGGGAGGCTCGGGGTGAGCGGGGAGGTCGGGGCAGGGCTGGATCAGCTCTCCCTGCTGACCTTCCCGGCCCTGCGGTTGTTGGGCAGATGTGGGGCCTCCGCCCCAGAGGGATCCTGGAATCCCTCAGGGTTCCCTCAGGCCCGGGGTGATGGGAACCCATTGGGACCTTCCCCGGGCACCAGGAGTTCCAGGGAGCCCCACAGAGAGCAGAGCTCTGCCTCCAGGGAGTGCCTGGAGCTGCGGGAGGAGGAGGAGGGAGAGGAGGGAGAGGAGGGAGAGAAGGAAGAGGAGGAAGAGGAGGAAGAGGAGGAAGAGGAGGAAGAGGAGGAAGATGAAGAAGATGAAGAAGATGAAGAAGATGAAGAAGAGGAGGAAGAGGAAGAAGAGGAAGAAGAGGAAGAAGAGGAAGAAGAGGAAGAAGAGGAAGAAGAGGAAGAAGAGGAAGAAGAGAAGGAAGAGGAGGAAGATGAAGAAGAGGAGGAAGATGAAGAAGAGGAGGAAGATGAGGGCTCCCTGCATGGATGGAGCAATGAGAGGTACCTGGAGAGAGGAAGAAGAGGAAGATGAAGAAGAGGAAGAGGAGGAAGAGAAGGAAAATGAGGAAGAGGTGGAAGGGAAGGAAGAGAAGGAAGATGAGGAAGGAAGAGGACGAAGAGGAGGAAAATGAGGAAAATGAGGAAAAGGAGAAAGAGAAGGAGGAGAAGGAAGATGAAGAAAATGAGGGTTCCCTGCATGGATGAACCAATGAGAAGTACCTGGAGAGAGGAAGAAGAGGAAGATGAAGAAGAGAAAGAGGAGGCAAATGAGGAAGAGGAGGAAGATTCCTGCTCCAGCTGCCACCACAAGGCTCAGAGGGGATAAAAAACCCTCCCTCCCTTCCCTGGGGTTTTCCTCCCTTTCCCTGCCCTCTTTTCCCACTTTCTCCACATCCTCCCTGCCTGCAGACGGGCTGTGCTTTCCAGGCACATTTCCCATCCCAAATTTTCGGGATTTCTGGCCGAGTCCCTGCTGTACAGCGTGTCCCTCCAAGCCCGGCCACCGAGCTCCGCTCACATCGCTGCTGCTGCTGCTGCTGCTGCTCCTCCTCAGGATCCCCGCAGGGCTCCCCCCGCCCCGGGAGGATGTTTTGGCTGGGAATTTCCTATGGAAAACAAGGAGGAACGGAGCCCGGGGGGGAGCTGGCACCTGCTGAGCTCCACTAAATAATTCCAGGCTGCCGGGAGGATCCGGGAGCTCCGCGCTCCTCCTTCCCTTCCCTTCCCTTCCCTTCCCTTCCCTTCCCTTCCCTTCCCTTCCCTTCCCTTCCCTTCCCTTCCCTTCCCTTCCCTTCCCTTCCCTTCCCTTCCCTTCCCTTCCCTTCCCTTCCCTTCCCTTCCCTTCCCTTCCCTTCCCTTCCCTTCCCTTCCCTTCCCTTCCCCTGCTTGGAGAGGCCAGGAAGAGCCTCAGGATGGGGATGGGGACAGGGACAGGGCTGGGACAATTCTGCAGGACCCCCCAGGAGCGCTGGGATGAGCCCCAAAATCTCTTCCCAAGCGTGGATGACTCTCAGGACACGCTCCCTGTTCTTATCATCCCCCCATAACCACCCTGGCTGAGCCTCGAGGGGATGGATGAGATCCCAAATCCTGGGGATGGATCAAACCCCCAAATCCCAGGGGATGGATGAGATCCCAAATCCTGGGATGGATGAGATCCCAAATCCCGGTGGATGGATGAAATCCCAAATCCCAGGGGATGGATGAAATCCCAAATCCTGGGATGGATGAAATCTCAAATCCCAGGATGGATGAGACCCCAAATCCTGGGGATGGATGAAATCCCAAATTCAGGGGATGGATGAGATCCCAAATCCTGGGGATGGATTGAATCCCAAATCCTGGGGGGTGAATGAAACCCCAGATCCCAGGGGATGGATGAGACCCCAAATCCTGGGGGATGGATGGAACCCCCAAATCCAGGGGATGGATGAGATCCAAAATCCTGGGGATGGCTGAGACCCCAAATCCCAGGGATGGATGAGATCCCAGTTCCTGGTGGAATGGATGAGATTCCCAAACCCCAGCAGATGGAAGAGACCCCAAATCTCTGGGGGATGGATGAGACCCCAGTCTTGAGGGGTGGCTGAGATCCCAAATCCCAGGAGGATGACTGAGATCCCAAATCCTGGTGGGATGGATGAGACCCCCCCCCCAGTCCCATGTGGATTTTCCCAGCCTGCAGAAATGCCAGCTTGGCAACCCCAGGCTGCCAAATCCGAAGACGAATTCCCGCTGTCACAGTGGCCCCTTTGCTGGGGAATTTATTTACTTTGGATGCTGCTGCCTTATCGTCCATGGAAATGTTTATCCCAAATATTTAACGGCAGCACTGCACAAACTGAGGCTTCCTGGGGAGCACTCGGAGCAGGGCCCACATCTCCCCTCCTGGAAGTGTAAAAAAATTCAGGGAAAATTCCTCGCTTTTCCCCCCGGCACCCCCAAAACCCGACATTCCCTAACCTGACATTCCCCTCCTGGTAGTGTAAAAAAAAATTCAGGGAAAATTCCTCGTTTTTCCCCCCGGCATCCCCAAAACCTGACATTCCCTAACCTGGCCAGAGGCCTCCTCGCAGCTCCCTGATGAGAAACGCAGGAGAGCCCTGAAAAACAACATCCCAAGCCCGCTAAATCGTTAAGCAGAGGGAGCCTGGAAAGTGCCAACACTCCTGAGAGAAAAGGCTGGAGAGAGAGAGAGAGAGAGAGAGGAGGGAGAGGAGGGAGAGGGAGGAAAGGAATCGCAGGTTATTTATAACGCCAGGCAGCACCAGGGGCTCGCCAGTCTCTCCTGCAAAGCTGCGGCGGGGAGGTCACTCCCTGAAAAAATCCCCAAAAAATAAATAAATCCCCAAAAAAATCGCGGAATCCCCGCCGAGCCCGGGCCGTGCCAGCGCAAGATTCGGGATCCGGGGCGGGCACGGGCGCTGCGGCTCGGGAGCCTCCCCCCCCTCCCATGCTGCCGGTGCCACGGCACAGCCCGCAGCAGCCTTTGCACAGGAGGAGAGGAGCAGCTCGGTGAGTCCAGCTCGGCCTTTTTTAGACAGGTTTTTAAGGTGGTTTTTTTTTGTTTTGTTTTGTTTTTTTTTTTTTAATTTATTTTGGAAGCCTGATCTCTGTTGCTGCGCCCCGTGGCAGCGCCAGGGGTGGCACGGCTGGGGAGATGGAGGTGATGGAGAGGCACTTCCCCTGCTGCCCGCTTCGGCTGGTGCCCATCTCCCTTCCCACCCACTTCTCCCGGTGCCCACCTCTCCTGCTGCCCAATTCTCCTGCTGCTTCTCTCTCCTGCCCACTTCTCCTGATGCCATCTCCCTTCCCACTCACTTTTCGTGCTGCCCCTCTCTCTCCTGCCCGTCTCTCCTGCTGCCCACTTCTCCTGCTGCTCCTCTCTCCTGCCCACTTCTCATGATGCCCATCTCTCCTCCTGAGCACTTTTCCTGATGTGCTTCTCCCTTCCCTCTTTTCCTGCTGCTCCTCTCCCATCCCACCCATCTCCCCTCCCGTTCCTCTGCCATCTCCATGCCCACTTCTCTGGGATCTGGACACCTTCCCTGATATCTGTCCAGGCTGGGCAGAGCCCCCCATCCCATCCCATGGATCCCCTGGATACCATCCCATGGGTCCCATCCTATCCTATCCCATGGATCCCATCCCATCCCATGGATCCCCTGGATACCATCCCATGGATCCCATCCCATCCCGTCCCATGGATCCCATCCCATCCCATCCCATCCCATCCCATGGGTCCCATCCCATCCTATCCTATCCCATGGATCCCCTGGATCCCATCCCATGGATCCCCTGGATCCCATCCCATGGATCCCATCCCATGGATCCCATCCCATGGATCCCATCCCATCCCATCCCATGGATCCCCTGGATTCCATCCCATCCCATCCCATGGATCCCATCCCACCCCATGGATCCCATCCCATCCCATGGATCCCATCCCATCCCAGGTTCCATGGCCCCATGGACGGCCCCAAACCCTTGGCACAAGGAGCTGACCCCGTTGCAGCCCCTGACACAGGACAGGGACGCCAGGAGGGGACGGGGACCTCAGGGCCAGGTCCCACCCCAAACCTGGGGGTGAAGCCTCAGGGAGGGGAGAAAACCCCACAAACAATGAGGGGACAGCGGGCAGTGCTGGGGACACATTTTGGGGCCCCCAGAGGGGTGAAGGGGGGCAACTGGGAAAGGTGAGGAGACACCAGAGATGGGGTTTTCCCCCCAGGGATGGGGGTTTTGCCCCCATGGATATGGTTCTGCCCCCAGGAATGGGGTTTTTGCCTCCAGAGATGGGGTTTTGTCCCCAGTTGTGGGGGTTTTGCCCCTGGGATGAGTTATTTCCCCCAGGTATAGGGGTTTTTCCTCCAGGGATGGGGGTTTTGCCCCCTGGGATGGGGTTTTTGCCCCCAGGGATGGGGGTTTTGCCCCCATGTATATGGTTTTGCCCCTAGGTATGGGATTTTTCCTCCAGGAAGGGGGTTTTGCCCCCAGGGATGGGGATTTTCCCCCAGAGATGGTTTTTTTTTGTCCTCCGGGGATGGGGTTTTCCCTCCAGGGTGGGGTTTTGCCCCAAAGGGGCCTCCAAGAAGGGGCTGCCAAGAGGGTGGAGAAGCTGCAGGCTCTGGTATGAGAGCAGGCACAGAGCCCTGGAGCAGCAGCAGGAGGAGGAGGAGGAGGAGGAAGAGGAGGAGGAGGAACAACTCCTCTGCCCCTGCCAAGCTCCCCGTGGCACTCAGCACCCCCAGGATCCCGTCCCGAGCACACAGAGCAGGGAACAAAGGACAAACCCAGCCCCTCTCTTTTCCCGTGCCAGGCTGGCAGGGCAGGGCACCCTGTGCCCTCTGGGAGTGCCAGGCTGGGTGTCCCCTCCCTGCTGCAGCCTGGGGACACAGCCAGGGGTCACCAGGTGACCTCAGGGCCACCCCTGGCACCGCAGAAAGGGGACACTGGTCCCTGCTGTTCCCTACTGGCTCCTACTGGTCCCTGCTGGTTCCTACTGGTCCTTGCTGGTCCCTGTTGCCCTTACTGGTCCCTGTTAGTCCCTACTGGTCTCTGCTGGTCCCTACTGGTCCCTGATGGTTCCTGATGTCCCTGCTGGTCCCTGTTGGTCCCTCCTGTCCCTGTTAGTCCCTGCTGGTCCCTACTGGTTCCTGATGTCCCTGCTCATCCCTGCTGGTCCCTGATGTCCCTGCTGGTCCCTGCTGGCTCCTACTGGTCCCTGTTGGTCCCTGCTGATCCCTGATGTCCCTGCTGGTCCCTGTTGGTCCCTGCTGGTCCCTGTTGGTCCCTACTGATCCCTGATGTCCCTGCTGGTCCCTCCTGTCCCTGTTGGTCCCTGCTGGTCTCTGCTGGTCCTTGCTGGTCCCTGTCGGTCCCTCTTGTCCCTGCTGTCCCCTGCTGTCCCCTGCTGGTCCCTCTTGTCCCTGTTGGTCCCTGCTGGTCCCCGCCGGAGCAGAGCTGGCAGTGACACCCTCCCAGCCACGTAGGATCCTCTCCCGCTCCCAGCAGCCAAATTCCTGGAGGGATTTCAAACTGCCTGGCTGCAGGAGCAGCCCCGTGCGCTCATTTATCCCGGGACGAGGAGGCTGGATGGCTCCAGAGCTGGAATCCTCCCGCTGCAGCTCCACCTGGCCATGGCAGGAGGAGGCTGAGGGGATCAGGGACGGGTTTGCCTCATTCCCTGCTCGCCTCTGGATCATCACCAGGGGTTGTCCCCTGTCCCTGGTCACACCGAGGGTGCTGCCCCTTTCTGTGCCTGGGGAAATGGGAGCTTGGGAGAGGTTTCAGCTCCAAAACCAGGCAGGATTTGTTTACCAGGATCTGCATCCTGTGTTTCTGTGGGGGAAGGGAGAGCTGGATGAAACCCACAGCGATTCCTGTCACCAGCGAGCGGAGCATAAATAGCTCCTTCAAAAGATGCCTCGAGCTCCTTCAAAAGGCTCCTCAGGCTCCCAGAATCACCCTGATCTGGCAGATTCCACTCTCAGCCAGAGAATTCAAACCCCTTCTCCAAGGGGATCCAAATTCCTTCTCCTCCCTCCCGCGCAGAGCCAACCCCGGGCACCTCGTGTGACCCCACACAAATCCCCAGGCTCTGTTCTCTGGAATGGAATTAGCCAGAAATCAGGATCTCACCAGCACATCTCCACTGGGATGGAGATTCCTCCCAAATTTCCTCCAGGCTGGGAGGTTTCTCTCAAATCTCTACTGGTTTCTCCCAAATTTCCACTGGGGTGGAGGTTTCTCTCAAATCTCCTCCAGGGTGGGAGGTTTCTCCCAAATCTCCACTGGGATGGAGATTCCTCCCAAATCTCCACTGGTTTGTCCCAAATCTCCACCAGGAATGAAGGTTCCTCCCAAATCTCCACTGGGTGGGAGTTTTCTTCCCAAATCTCCACTGAGGACTAAGGTTCCCCCCAAATTTCCACTGGGATGGAGGTTCCTCCCCAAATCTCCACCAGGAATGGAGGTTCCTCCCTAAATTTCCACTGGGACCAAGGTTTTTCCAAAATCTCCGCTGGTTTCTCCCAGATCTCCACCAGGGAGGGAAGTTTTTTTCAAATCTCCACCGGTTCCTCCCTAAATTTCCACTGGGATGGAGGTTCCTCCCAAATCTCCACTGATTTCTCCCAAATCTCCACTGATTTCTCCCAAATCTCCACTGATTTCTCCCAAATCTCCACTGATTTCTCCCAAATCTCCAGCAGGGATGGAGGTTCCTCCCTAAATGTCCACTGGGACCAAGGTTTTCCCCAAATCTCCATTGGTTTCTCCAAGATCTCCAGCAGGGATGGAGGTTCCTCCCTAAATTTCCACTGGGACCAAGGTTTTCCCCAAATCTCCATTGGTTTCTCCCAAATCTCCACTGGGGATGGAGGTTCCTCCCTAAATTTCCACTGGGACCAAGGTTTTCCCCAAATCTCCATTGGTTTCTCCCAGATCTCCAGCAGGGATGGAGGTTCTTCCCTAAATTTCCATTGGGAGGGAGGTTTAACCCAAATCTCCACCGGTTCCTCCCAAACCCCCACCACGGCCGGAATTTTCTCCAAGGTGAAAATTGGGATGATCACACAACTCCACCCAGAAGTATCCACAGCCGGGGATCTTTGGGCAGGATTCCCTCCTCTCCTGCTCCTCCAGCCCTGCCTTCCTCCCCATCTCATCCTCCCACCTCTTTGCCCCCTCTCAGGTCCCTCCAGCGCCATGCCTCGGGCCACCACCCTCATCCTCATCCTGGCCGGGCTCTGCGTGTCCTCCCTGGGCCAGTACAACGAGGAGGAGGACCTGGCGTGGCTCCAGTACTACCTGCGGCAGTCCCGCGCCTCCTCCTACAACTACGTTCCCTACTACGAGGAGGAGAGCCCCGCGTACGCCTACTCCTACCCCTCTGCCACCGACACGGAGCCCGAGCCCGAGCCCGAGCCGCAGCAGGCGGCGCCCTGGCGGTGTCCCCAGGAGTGTGACTGTCCCCCCAACTTCTCGTCGGCCATGTACTGCGACACGCGCAACCTGCGCTACCTGCCCTTCGTGCCCTCGCGGATGAAGTACGTGTATTTCCAGAACAATCTCATCACCTCCATCCAGGAGGGCGCCTTCGACAACGCCACCGAGCTGGAGTGGCTGGCGCTGCACAACAACCAGATCAGCAGCGAGAAGATGGGGAAAAGGGTTTTTGGGAAGCTGCAGAGGTTGGAGAGGCTCTACATGAACAACAACAACCTGACCAGGCTGCCCAGCCCGCTGCCGCGCTCGCTGCGGGAGCTCCACCTCTCCTACAACCAGATCTCCAAGGTGCCTCCCAACGCTCTGGAGGGGCTGGAGAACCTCACGGCGCTCTACCTCAGCCACAACTTCATCTTCGAGATGGGCGCGTCCCTCAAGGGGCTCAAGTCGCTGATCCTGGCCGACCTGAGCTACAACAACCTCAGGAAGGTCCCCGACGGGCTGCCGGCGTCGCTGGAGCAGCTCTACCTGGAGTACAACTACATCAACGCCATCCCCGACGAGTATTTCCAGGTGTCCCCCAGGCTGCTCTACGTGAGGATGTCCCACAACAGCCTGACCAACCAAGGGCTCTCCAGCAACACCTTCAACAGCAGCAGCATCCTGGAGCTGGACCTCTCCTACAACCGGCTGCAGAAGATCCCGCGGGTCAACACCAACCTGGAGAACCTCTACCTGCAGGGGAACCAGATCGACGGTGAGCAGGGCTGGGGAAAGGGGGGTGAGGAACCCACAGGAACCACCTGGGGTGGTGGAGAACCCACAGGAACTATCTGGGGTGGTGGGGAACTCATAGGAACCACCTGGGATGGTGGGGAACCTACAGGAACCATCTGGGGTGGTGGGGAACCCACAGGAACCACCTGGGGTGGTGAGAAACCCACAGGAACCACCTGGGGTGGTGGAGAACCATAGGAACCATCTGGGGTGGTGGGGAACCCACAGGAACCATCTGGGGTGGTGGGGAACCCATAGGAACCACCTGGAAACCTACGGGAACACCTGGAGGGTGATTTGAGCAGGAATTTGGGGCTCCTGAGGGTTCCTGAGCAAGGAGGCGGTGGGAGATGTGCTGTCCCAGCCTGGAGGGTTCCTGTGGGATCCCTGCGCTGGATTTTGGAGTTTCCCAGGAGCCTGAGCATCCCCTGGGGTTGGAGATGGTGGAAAGCAGGGCATGAACCAGCTGGGGTGGGGTCTGTGGGGTCAGGAGGGGTCACAGCAGTGGGCAGAGCTGGGGGGGGGTCCCCAAAGCCACTCTGGGGACACGGAGCACCCTGGGGAGTGCCAGGGACAGGGACATTGCCCAGGGCCAGCACAGCCCCTGTGTCCCCAGAGTCCCTGCGTGTCCCAGCCCCAGCTGAGGGCTCTGTCCTTCCCCCGGCGGCCCCGGCGCCGCCTCCGCTCCCAACACAAACAAACCAAGGGAACCCAGGATTGTTCTGGGGCTGCTCTTTATAAAAAGGGGCTGGGAAAAACCCAACCCCGAGCAAAAGCTGCCGGGAAAAACCAACCTTGGTCTTCTCACCTGCCAGGACCTGAGGGCGGGGATGGGATGGGATGGGAAATGGGAATGGGATTGGGAATGGGAAATGGGGATAGGAATGGGAATTGGGGATGGGAAATGGGATGAGAAATGGGGATGAGAAATGGGGATGGGGATGGGAATGGAATGGGAACGGGAAGGGAATGGGAAATGGGGATGAGAAATGGTGATAGGGATGGAAATGGGGATGGGAAATAGAATGGGAACAGGATAGGAATGGGATGGGGATGGAATGGAAATGGGGATGAGAAATGGGGATGGGGATGGGAATGGGAATGGGGATGGGGATGGAGATGGGAATGGAATGGGAACAGGAGCAGGAATGGGAAGGAAATGGGGATGAGAAGGGGAATGGGAACAGGAATGGAATGGGAAGGTGCCAGTGCAGCCATCAGCTGTTGCAGGGAAAACACAGAACCCCGCAGCGGGGAGCTGCCAGCAGCACAGACACGGGAACAGATTCCCAAATGTTTGCTTTCCAAACCGGAGCTGCCGCCGTCTGCCCACAAACGCCGCGGAGCCACCGCCGGCTCCTCCTCCTCCTCCTCCCTCCTCCTCTGCGGGTCCTGCTGACCTTCACAGCCCCCCCAAAATCGGGGATGCTGCTCAAAGCCCTTTGGAGCATCCGGACCGCGGTCCTGCCCCTCCGCCCCACCCAGGGTCCCCTCTATGGGTGCAGCCCCCAAATCCCAGCGCTCCCCCCCAGCATCCCGCTGCCTTTTCCAGCAGCAGCCCGGCCTGGAGCTCTGCTGCCCTCTAGGCTCAAATCCTGCGCGGAAAAAAAAAAAAAAAATCCCCAAAAAATGTATTTGGGAGTTTGTTCCATCTCCCGTTTCCTGCGCTGGGCTGGGCTGGAATTTCCCTGTGCGGAGGAGCGCAGAGGGGGTGGCTGGGATGGGGACAGGGACATCCCCGCTCCTGGACACGTTGCTCGGGGGTCTCACAGTGGCCAGAGGGGTCGGGACATGGAGGCTGCAGCGCAGGAAGCCGCCAAAAAAAAAAAAAAAGGCTGGAAAAGCAAATGCTGATGGAAAGCAAAGTTTCCTGTCCGACTCCACCCTCCGAGCGCTCCCATCCCGGCTGGGCAGGGAAGACTCCAAACCCTCCTGCTCCTCCTGGCTGCGGCCAGGAGCACCAGGAACTCTTTTAGCTTGAGAGGCTGAGTCCAAATTCACGTGAAAAATCAGAGAATTTGGGCTGCTCCCATATTTTTCCCCCCCTGCCAGGCTCAACACAAAGCAGATCTCAGAGGTGGATCCCTCAGGACAGAGAATTTCCTACTAAAAATCCACTTTGGGGAAGGTTGTGGGGGATTCCGCTCCACAGAGAAGGCTGAGCTAGAACAGAGGCCAGACAGAGCTCAAGAATAAAGCAGGGATTTATTAAAAGGATCTCCTCAATGGATCCACCTTGGGCAGCACAAGAGCCCAGCCAGGGCTGCACCCAAGGTGAACCAAAATGGTCACAAAATGAACCCAAAATGGTCACAAAAATGGTCACAAAATGAACCCAAAATGGTCACAAAATGAACCCAAGATGAACCCAAAATGGTCACAAAATGAATCCAAGATGAACCCAAAATGGCACAAAATGCACAATTGCTCACGGGGTCTCTCACTTTTATAAATTCTGCTGCATATTGGATATTGCAGTTAATTGTCCAGCTGCACCTTTAGGCTATGCAGTCCCATCCTTCTTGTTTTTCCCTCTCCAGCCCACGTTGTTTCTGCTCTTGGCCCAGAAATTTGGATCATTTCTCCTTAGTCCCCACTAGAGCAGGAATTATTTCATCTCCGTGAACAGCGCTCACCCCGCCATAACACCAACCCCAAACCCACCAACCCTAAACCACCACAGAACCCCCATAAAAAAAAAAAAAAACCCCAAAACCCCCAAACCCTGAGGCCTCACCAGCTCCTCTCCCCCGCAGAGTTCTCCATCAGCAGCTTCTGCTCCGTGGTGGACGTGGTGAACTACTCGCGGCTGCAGGTGCTGCGGCTGGACGGCAACGCCATCAAACGCAACGCGGTGCCCCCGGACGCGCCGCTGTGCCTGCGCCGCGCCACCGTCATCGAGATCTGACAGCTGAGCCCCCCCTGCCCCTCAGGACTTGTGTCCCCCTAGCCACCCTCCCACCCCCAGGGAATTCCCTCGTCCCTGCTTCTCTGCCCGACTCGCGGCGCGATGGCGGCGCGCTCCTGGTTTTCCCAAAATCGTCGCTTTTTGCAGTCAGATCCCGGCTCTGACCCCGCCACAGGCACCTCACAAAGGGGCCATGGGCACCTCCTGCCCCAGGCTGGGGTGGGGCGTGGCAGGGGTGGGGATCGTCCCACCTTGGACAGGGGGAAATCCCAATCCCGATCCCAAGTCTGGGTCTGAAACCCCTGGGAGGAGCCTCCTTACAGAGGGATCAGACCCTTTTTCCATGGGGAAATCCCAATCCCAAATCTGGATCTGAATCCCCTGGAAGGAACATCTTTCCATAGGGATCAGACCCTTTTTCCATGGGGAAATCCCGTGGGGATCAGATCCTTTTTCCATGGGGAAAGCCCAATCCCAAATCCAGGTCTGAAAGCCCTGGGAGGAGCCTCCTTACAGAGGGATCAGACCCTTTTTCCATGGGGAAATCCCGTGGGGATCAGATCCTTTTTCCATGGGGAAATCCCAATCCCAAATCTGGATCTGAATCCCCTGGAAGGAGCATCTTTCCATGGGGATCAGATCCTTTTTCCATGGGGAAATCCCGATCCCAATCCCAAATCCAGGTCTGAAAGCCCTGGGAGGAGCTTCCTTACAGAGGGATCAGACCCTTTTTCCATGGGGAAATCCCAATCCCAAATCTGGGTCTGAACCTCCTGGAAAGAACATCTTTCCATGGGGGGATCAGACCCTTTTTCCATGAGAAAATCCCATGGGGATCAGACCCTTTTTCCATTAGAAAATCCCATGGGGAAATCCCATGGAGATCAGACCCTTTTTCCATGGGGAAATCCCAATCCTGACCCTAAATCTGGGTCTGAACCCCCTGAAAGGAGCATCCTTCCATGGGATCAGACCCTTTTTCCATGGGGAAATCCTTCCATGGGGATCAGACCCTTTTTCCACGGGGAAATCCCAGGGGGATCAGACCCCTTTTCCATGGGGAAATCCCGTGGGGATCAGACCCTTTTTCCATGGGGAAATCCCAATCCCAAATCTGGTCTGAACGCCCTGGGAGGAGCACCCAAGGGGTTGGGAGCTGCAGGAGTGAAGGGTTAAAGATCTCCAGGCTGGAGGATCCCTCAGTGTGGGCTGAGGAGGAGCAAATCCATCCCTCCCCTTCCTTTCTTCCCCCCCTTTTCCATCTGGAGCCTGCTCCAGAATTAACAGGGAGAAAACCCTAAAGGAGAGAAACCCACCCTGGGGTCAGAGGGAAACCCCCTGAGCAACAGAGGGGTCCCAAATCTTCCTCCCAAACCCCTGGATCAGGGCAGGACGGGGAAAATCCTGGTGCTGTCACCCCTGGAGCCGTCGCCCCCAGCTGCCCCTCCCTGAGCCCAGATACCCCAATTAAAACCCCAAAACCAATCACAGAGCCACGCTGGAATTCCCTAAAAATCCCAAATTCCCCAACTCAGGCGGTCGAGTTTGAGGATTGAAGGGGCAGCTGAGCTTTGGGGGTCACCCCAGCCCTCTGCGTCGTTCCTGCATGCAAAGATCATTTTTAAAAAAACCCCATTTAAAAAAAACCCCAAATAATCCCATAATTGCACCAGCATGAACTGTAAACCCCAAAGCCATCAATAAAAACCTTTCCAGTGCCTGCAGCCAGCGCTTCTCCTCCTCTCCGGGATGGATTTCCAGCCGGAATCCAGGCTGGAATTGCCGTCTAGCGGCTGCTCCGGGCATGGCACGGAGCTTTCCCCGGGAAAAGGGAAAAATCTCCATGGAAAAGGCTCAGCGGGAGTGGGGAGGGACGGAGGCACCACCGGGGTTTTTTAGGGTTTGTTTTTTCTGGACCCTCCTGGCTTTGGTCGTGAGGATTTTTAACAGCTGGGCTGGGGGATGGTTGAAAAATAAGGGGAAAAAAAGGAATTTTTACAGAATTCCACACGGAGGGGAACAGAAAGTGCCTTCCCCAGGGAAGCAGAGGCTGCGGGATTCTGTGGGATGAAGGAGTTGGGATTCCAAAAAAAAAAGAAAACCCCAAATTCCTGGTCAGGGCAGCCCCAAAGCTCCGGCTAAGGAGAAGCCAAGCAGGAAGATCCCGAATCTCAAAATCCCAAACTCCATCCCAGGGTGGCACAGGGACATTCACACCCTCATCACATCCTCATCCCAACATCCCAAACCCCATCCCAGAGATCCAAACCCTCCCAGGGGCACCAGGATGGGATGCAGGATTTGGGATTCCAAAAAAAACCCCAATTCCTGGCTGGGCCCAGCCCCCAGCTCCAGCCAGGAAGATCCCAAATCTCAAACTCCCCAAATCCCAAACTCCAATCCTTTGGGATACCCCTTTCCCATCCCAGGGACATTCACACCCTCATCCCAACATCCCAAACCCCATCCCAGAGATCCAAACCCTCCCAGGGGCACCAGGAGGGGTTGTAGGACTGGGGAGGTTCTAGGGAACCTAAATCCCATAATTTCAGAGGGATCTGGGAATAACAGTCCAGAGGGAGCAATGAAAGGGGCTGGGGAGGTTCTAGGGAGCCCAAATCCCATAATTTCAGGGGGATTTTGGAATAACAGCCCAGATGAGCAACCAAAGGGTTTTAAGGAGCACAAATCCCATAATTTCAGAGGGATCTGAGAGAATGGCCCAGATGGAACAAGCAAAGGGGTTGGAGAGGTTCTAGGGAGCCCAAATCCCACAATTTCAGAGGGATCCAGGAAGGACGATCCAGAGGGAGCAACCAAAGGGGTTGGGGAGGTTTTGGGGAGCCTCAATCCCATAATTTCAGAGGGATCTGGGAATAACAGTCCAGAGGGAGCAATGAAAGGGGTTGGAGAGGTTTCAGGGAGCCCAAATCCCATAATTTCAAAGGGATCTGGGAAGGAATGCCCAGATGGAACAAGCAAAGGTGTTGGGGAGGTTCTAGGGAGCCCAAATCCCACAATTTCAGAGGGATCTGGGAGTGACAGTCCAGATGAACAATCAAAGGGGCTGGGGAGGTTTAAACCCCACCCCTAAAACCAACAAAAACCCCAAAACAACCCCCTCAAAAGCAGCAAAAAAAAAAAAACCCTAAACAAAAAATAAAAAAAATAGCAAATAAACCCAAAAAACCCCCAAAAACCCCACAACCGTCCCCAAAAAATAAAATAAAAAGAAAATAAAAAGAAAATAAAAAGAAAATTAAAATAAAAATTTTTAAAACCCACAAAAAACCAACCAAACAAAAAAAAAAAAACCCAACAAAATAACCCACAGAAACAAGAAGCAGGTCCTGTTCAACATTCCAGCTCAGTTAAAAATACAAATTAAAATATAATAATAATAATAATAATAATAATAATAATAATAATAATAATAATAATAATTATTATTATTATTATTATTATTATTATTATTATTCATGACAGAAACCCCCTCAAAAGTCATTTTGTCAAAATCCACAGCAGGCCTGGAGGCCAAAGGCACCGAGAGCTCAGGAATTCACAATTCCCAGCTTTGTGTGGCACCAGCACCAGACAGGAGTGGGTTCTAAACCCCAAATTGGGTTGGTTTTGAAGCTTATTTTAAATTGGAAATAAAAAAAAAACCAAACAGCCTTGGAGATGAGGCAGGGTGAGGAGCACGAGGCTGTTTTGGGAAACAAAAATTCTTTGGAAAAGAATTTTCTGGGAAAAAAAAAATAAAAATTTCTCCCATGGAAAATTTCACCGGGGAGAGGGAGGGGAAAACAAATCAAATTTTGAGGCTCCTCCTGTGGCAGCTGAAAGTGAGGAATCCCCCAAAATCAAAGCACTGGGATGTGTTTTACTGGGAAATAAATTGGGTTTTTTTGGGTTTTTGGAGTGTGGGTGAGGTTACTCAGCTCTTGCACAAGCGAAAATCCCCCCCAGCGCTTCCTTCCTGCTCTGCTGACGTGAGAAATTCCAGTGAAGAGGGAAGTGATGCAAGCCCAGACGCTGCTGTGATCTCAGGCACAAACAAACCGATATTCCCATAAAAATATAAATATTTGAGAATCCAGGCTGATTTTCCTATTTTGGACTTGAAAAAAAATCCAAAAATCTGAATTTTAGAAATGGGAGAGAAGTGATGCAAGCCCAGACTCTGCTCTGGTCTCCTCAAGCACAAACAAACTGATATTCCCATAAAAATATATAAATATTTGAGAGTTTAGGTTGATTTTCCAGTTCCGGACTTGCAAAAGAAAATAAAATCGGAATTTTAGAAATGGGAGAGAAGTGATGCAACTCCAGACTCTGATCTCAGGCACAAACAAACTGATATTTCCATAAAAAATATATATAAATATTTGAGAGTTTAGGTTGATTTTCCAGTTCTGGAAAGAAAATAAAATCGGAATTTTAGAAGGGGGAGAGAATTTATGCAACCCCAGACTCTGCTGTGATCTCAGGCACAAACAAACTGATATTTAAATAAAAATATTTGAGAATCCAGGCTGATTTTTCAGTTCTGGATATGCAAAAGAAAATAAAATCTGAATTTTAGAAATGGGAGAGAAGTGATGCAAGCCCAGACTCTGCTCTGGTCTCCTCGAGCACAAACAAACTGATATTCCCATAAAAAATATAAATATTTGAGAGTTTAGGTTGATTTTCCAGTTCTGGACTTGCAAAAGAAAATAAAATCTGAATTTTAGAAATGGGAGAGAAGTGATGCAACTCCAGACTCTGATCTCAGGCACAAACAAACTGATATTTCCATAAAAAATATATATAAATATTTGAGAGTTTAGGTTGATTTTCCAGTTCTGGACTTGCAAAAGAAAATAAAATCTGAATTTTAGAAGGGGGAGAAAATCCAGTGAAGAGGCAATGATGCAACTCCAGACTCTGCTGTGATCTCAGGCACAAACAAACTGATATCTAAATAAAAATATTTGAGAATCCAGGCTGATTTTTCAGTTCTGGACTTGCAAAAAACAAATAAAATCTGAATTTTAGAACCCAGACTCCGCTCTGATCTCAGGCACAAACAACCTGATATTTCTATAAAAAAAATATATAAATATTTGAGAGTTTAGGTTGATTTTTCAGTTCTGGACTTGCGAAAAAACCCAAAAATCTGAATTTTAGAAAGGGGAAGAGAAGTGACTCTACTCTGATCTCAAGCACAACCAACCTGACATTTACATAAAAATATAAATATTTGAGAATTTAGGGTGATTTTCCAATTTTGGACTTGCGAAAAAACCCAAAAATCTGAATTTTAGAAGGGGGAAGAGAAGTGATGCAACTCCAGACTCTACTCTGATCTCAAGCACAACCAACCTGACATTTAAATAAAAATATAAATATTTGAGAGTTTAGGTTGATTTTCCAGTTCTGGACTTGCAAAAATAAAAATCTGAATTTTAGAAGGCAGGGCTGGGTTGCTGAGCTGGATAATTTAATGTATTTCCCAATTGGAAATGGATTGCACAAATATCTGAGGATTTGAATCACCAGGGGCTGGCTGAGAACAGCTCCGGGTTTGCCACGTCAGGAAAAGGGGAAGAGAAAAAATCCAGGAAGTTTTGCAACAACCAAGGCCCAATTTTATCCCTTGGGGAGCTCCAGGGGGTGGGAAAAGGGGAGAGGATTTGGGATTTCACAGGAAAGGCTCCTTCCCAAAATCAAGGTGGGGTTTAGGATCTTTAGGTGCCACTAAATTTGGGATTTAAAGTGAAATCCTTAAAAAAAAAACCTTTTAAGGTGTTTGTTAAGATGCTCATTCCCAGCATCAAATGAGGTTTAGGAGCTTTAGGTGCCAATAAAAATATATTATAAAATAATATAATGCAAATAAATTTGGGATTTAAAGGTGAAATCCTTAAAAAAAAAAACAACCTTTTAAAGTGGTTGTTAAGATGCTCATTCCCAGCATCAAATGAGATTTAGGACCTTTATACATTTTATAATATATTTTTATTGAAACCAAAAGTAATATAATGCCAAAAAATTTGGGATTTAAAGGTGAAATCCTAAAAAAACCCTTTTAAAGGTTCCTTAGTGGTGTTGGTAGTTCCTTCCCAGCATCCAGGTGGGGTTTAGGTGCCACTAAATTTGGGATTTAAAGGTGAAATCCTAAAAAAACCCTTTTAAGGTGTTTGTAGTGCTCATTCCCAGCATCAAATGGGGTTTAGGATTTTCAGGTGCCACTAAATTTGGGATTTAAAGGTGAAATCCTAAAGAAAATCCATTTAAAGGTTCTCAGAGGTGTTTGTAGCTCCTTCCCAGCATCACGGTGGGGTTTAGGATCTTTAGGTGCCACTAAATTTGGGATTTAGAGGGGTTTTCTTTAGGATTTCACATTTAAGGGTTTCTCAGAGGTGTTTGCAGCTCCTTCCCAGCACCAAGTGGGGTTTAGGGCCTTTAGCTCCCACTAAATTCAGAGTTTAAAGGCGAAATCCTAAAGAAAACCCTTTTAAGGTTCTCAGAGGTGTTTGCAGCTCCTTCCCAAAATCAAGGTGAGTTTTAGGGCCTTTAGCTGCCACTAAATTTGGGGTTTCAAGGCCAAATCCCAAAAACCACCCGGGCAGAGCCTCCCTGAATGCCAAAGGATTGGGCAGAGCAGGAATTTAAAATTGTGTAAAAGGTTCTGTACCAAAGAGAGGGGACCCAAATCCCTTTTCCAAGGGGGGCAGGGAAGAGCTGTGGCTTCAAACAGCAACATCAGGACCCCAAAACACCCACAGAGAGCAGGGAGAGCCCCCCAAAAATCCAGATTTGGGGAGAAAAGGCAGCAAAAAGGGGGTGCCACACATCAACCCCTGCAGGATGAGGACACAAGGAGGAGGTGGCAGCGTCAGGATGGGGACACAAGGACACAGAGGGGACACAGAGAGGCCACCAGGGCAGGGCTGGGCCCCTGGGAGCAGAAAATCCACAGGTGCAGGGTGGTGGCAGCAGCAGGAATGTCCCCTCAGTGCCACCAGGGTCACCCTGGGGACACTCCCAGGTGTCTCTGCCTTGCTCCACGTCCCAGGTGAGCCCTTCCAGGGGCTGGGACAGGGCAGGGCAGAGCTGCAGCACGTCCAGGAGGGTGGCCCCAATGTCCCCAGTGTCCCCAATAGGGCAGAGCTGCAGCACATCCAGCAGAGTGACCCCAATGTCCCCAGTGTCACCCAATAGGGCAGAGCTGCAGCACGTCCAGGAAAAGTGACCCCAATGTCCCCAATGTCCCCAATAGGGCAGGGCAGAGCTGCAGCACGCCCAGGAGGGTGACCCCAATGTCCCCAATGTCACCCAAAGGGGCAGGGCAGGGCTGCAGCACGTCCAGGAAAAGTGACCCCAATGTCCCCAATGTCACCCAACAGGGCAGGGCTGCAGCACCTCCAGGAGGGTGACCCTAATGTCCCCAGCCCTGAGGTGACACCAAATCCAGGCCCCAAATCTCCACCTGGAGGTGCAGCAGCAGAGGTGACAACAGGGCAGTGACAAGGTGACAATGCAGCCACACTGCCCAAACTGGCTTCACCCCCTCATCCCAAGGTGAGCAAAGCCAGCCCCAAAATCATCATCCAACACTGAATTAGGCAGATTTCAGCTTCACAATAATAATTTAAAAAAGAGAAACTCACAAGCTTGCAACAGCTTTAGAAAAGACACCTGGTCTGGGGTGGTGGCAGCAGCAGGAATGTCCCCTCAGTGCCACCAGGGTCACCCTGGGGACACTCCCAGGTGTCTCTGCCTTGCTCCACGGCCCAGGTGAGCTCTTCCAGGGGCTGGGACAGGGCAGGGCAGAGCTGCAGCACGTCCAGGAGGGTGACCCCAATGTCCCCAATGTCACCCAACAGGGCAGGGCAGAGCTGCAGCACATCCAGCAGGGCCACCCCAATGTCCCCAGCCCCGAGGTGACACCAGGCCCCAAATCTCCACCTGGAGGTGCAGCAGCAAAGGTGACAACAGGGCGGTGACAAGGTGACAATGCAGCCACACTGCCCAAACTGGCCTCACTCCCTGATCCCCAGGTGAGCAAAGCAGCCCCAAATTCATCATCAGGCAGGTTTCAGCTTCACAATAACAACGATAATAATACAAAAAAAAGAGAAACTCACAAGCTTGCACCAGCTTTAGAAAAGGCACCTGGGGCGTCGCCTCGGCTCAGAGCGGCGCCCGAAATTTTAATTTTGGATTTTCTGGAGGTTTTTTTTAAAAAATATAAATAGCTCTTCATCTTAAAAATAGATCCTCAGCTTGAGGTATTACAGTAGCCTGTGTCTTGGCAGTGTAAGGACAAGGAGGAGAAAAAAAAAAATTTTTTTTTTTCTTTTTGTCATGTTTTGTGGGGGCTTTTTTTTTTGGTTTTTTTTTCTTTTTATGGGTTTTTTTTTTCTTTTTTTTTTTTTTTTCAACTGGAGACAGTCATGATGTAGTTTTTGGAAGGGCTGCTACGGCCCAGCATCATCTGGTTCTTGCAGGTGAGCATCCCTCCGTAGGGGCTGGGGGGTTTGGAGGCCTGGTAGAGGACGCAGATGGAGCCGTCCTCGCCGATCCTGTAGGAGACCTCGTAGGGATCCACCCAGAGCGTGAGCTCACGGGGCAGCAGCTGCAAGAGCTGGGGCACTGCCAGCCCCCCCTGCCCCGCTGCACGGCTCAGCAGAGGGTCCATCCTCTGGTTGATGCGGATGCAGCGGTAGCCGGAGCCTTTGGAGGGTTTCTCGGGGAACCAGTGGTGTCTGTAGTGCTCTGGGGAGGGAAAAACAGCTGTGAGCAGGGATATTCCAAAAGGAGGTGGGGTTTAGAGCCTGTAGCTGCCACTAAATTCAGGGTATAAAGGCCAAATCCTAAAGAAAACCCTTTTTTCTCAGTGGTGTCTGTAGTGCTCTGGGAAAAGAAAAACAGCTGTGAGCAGGGATATTCCAAAAGCAGATGGGGTTTAGCTGCCACTAAATTTGCGGGTTAAAGGTGAAATCCTAAAGAAAACCTTTTTTTTTTAAATTGCATTTCTAGTGCTCTATGGAGGGAAAAAAGAGATGTGAGAAAGGAAGGATATCCCGAAAGGAGGTGGGGTTTAGGGCACTTGGAGACCGCTAAGTTTGGGGTTTGAAGGCCAAATCCTAAAGAAAACCCTTTTTTTTTTCAGTGGTGTTTGTAGTGCTTTGGGGAGGAAAAACAGCTGTGAGCAGGGATATTCCAAAAGGAGGTGGGGTTTAGCTGCCACTAAATTTGGGGTTTAAAGGCCAAATCCTAAAGAAAACCCTTTTTTTTTTAATTGCGTTTATAGTGCTCTGGGGAGGGAAGAAGAGATGTGAGAAAGGATATCCCAAAAGTAGGTGGGGTTTAGAGCCTGTAGCTGCCACTAAATTCAGGGTATAAAGGCCAAATCCTAAAGAAAACCCTTTTTACTCAATGATGTCTGTAGTGCTCTGGGGAGGGAAAAAGAGATGTGAGAAAGGACATCCCAAAAGTAGGTGGGGTTTAGGGCATTTGGATAGCACTAATTTTGGGGTTTAAAGGCCAAATCCTAAAGAAAACCCTTTTTTTAAATTGCGTTTGTAGTGCTCTACGGAGGGAAAAAGAGATGTGAGAAAGGGTGTCCCAAAAGTATGTGGGGTTTAGGGCATTTGGATACCGCTAAATTTGGGGTTTAAAGGTGAAATCCTAAAGAAAACCTTTTCTTTTCAGGGGTGTTTGTACTGCTCTGGGGAGGGAAAAACAGCTGTGAGCAGGGATATTCCAAAAGTAGATGGGGTTTAGAGCCTTTAGCTGCCACTAATTTTGGGGTTTAAAGGCCAAATCCTAAAGAAACCCCTTTTTTCTCAGTGGTGTTTTTAGTGCTCTGGGAGATGACCAGGGGTGTCCCACAGGCAGGTGGGGTTTAGGGCCTTTAGCCACCACTAAATTTGGGGTTTAGAGGCCAAATCCTAAAGAAAGCCCTTTGAAGAGTTTTGCAGTGGTGTCTGCAGTGCTCCTTCCCATCAGGCAGGTGGGGTTTAGAGCCTTTATTTCACCTTTAAACCCTTAAATTCAGGGTTGGAAGGTGAAATCCTAAAGAAGATCCTTTGAAGGGTTTTTCAGGGAACCAGAGCTGTTTGTAGTGCTCCTTCCCAGCAGGCAGGTGGGGTTTAGAGCCCTCAGATACCCACAAATTCAGGGTTTGAAGGTGAAATCCTAAAGAAAATCCTTTGAAGGGTTTCTCAGGGAACCAGCGCTGTTTGTAGTGCTCCTTCCCAGCAGGCAGGTGGGGTTTAGAGCCTTTAGCTCTCGCTAAATTCAGGGTTTAGAAGCCAAATCCCAACAAACACCCGGGCAGAGCCTCCCTGAACGCTGGGAGCACAAAAGGAACCGGGCAGAGCAGGAATTAAACCGGGCCAAAAGTTCTGTACCCAAAGTTTGGTACCCAAATCCCTTTTCCAAGGGGGGGGGCAGGGATAGGGAAGCACCCCCAGCCCTCTGCCCACCCCAAATGCTTCTCTTCCATCCCAAAAAGCCCCGCAGGACAATGCCAGGGGCTGGGGGGTGCTGGGGGCAGATAGGGCACCCCAAAGCTGCCCCATCCCACAGCTCAGCCCTGTGCTGCCCCTTATCACAGCCCGGCCACCCCTCCCGGGGCTGATAACAGCCCTGGCTGGAGGGAGGGACCCCCGCACCGCCCAGGGAGTGCCGGGGCGGTGACACCGGCACGGGCACGGCAGGGACCGGGAACCACCGGGAGCAGCTGTGGGGTCTGCACCGCCCCGCAAGGGACAGCCGGACACAAAGGGACAAAGGGACACAAAGGGACAGACGGCAACGAGAATGGCACGGGACAGCCCCGAGGGGACACCCGGTCCTGGAGAGGACAGAGGAGGGGACATCGGGTCCTGGAAGGAACACGGGGGGAGTCCCCGAGGGACACCCGGTCCCAGGAGCGACACGGAGGGGACACGGAGGGCACTCGGGAGGGGACAGCAGGTCCCGGGAGCGACATGGAGGGGACACCGGGGGCGCCGCGGAGGGCATCCCCAAGGGGACACCAGGTCCGGGAGCGACACGGGAAGGGACATCAGGTGCTGGAAGGAACACAGGAGGTACCCCGGAGGGGACACCAGGTCGCAGAAGGGACACGGGGAGCACTCGGGAGGGGACACCACGTCTCGGGAGCGACACGAGAGGGGACATCAGGTCTCAGAAGGAGCACGGAGGGCACTCCGGAGGGAGTGGAGAGGACACGGGGGCCTCTCGGGAGGGGACACCCAGTCCCGGGACCAAGACGGGAGGGACACCAGGTCCTCGGAGCAACAACGGGGGACAGTCGGTAGGGACAGCAGCTCCTGGAAAGAGCACAGAGGGCACGCGAAAGGGACACCAGGTCCTCGCAGCACCATGGGGGGCACTCGAAGGGCCGCCAGGTCCTGAAAGGAGCACAGAGTGGGGCTCCAGTGTGCCCCCGGCCCCGAGGGCCACCAGAAGAGCCCGGCCACCAGCGGGCTCTGTCACCGCCCTCACCCCGAGCTCACCTGTGAGCGCCTCCCGCAGCGCCCCGCTGAAGACCTGTAGCTGCTGCTCGCTGACGCAGCCCCGCGTCCGCAGCAGGCCGGACACGAAGCCCACGGCGGCGGCGATCTCGGGCACCATGTCGGCCCGGGGGCCGCGGCGCTGGCTGTGGCGGTGGCTCATCCCGGCGGGGACGCGGCGACACCCGCGACCTTCTTCTCGACGGCTCCGCGGCGCTCGGACTGGCGGCCGCTGCCACCGCGCACGGTTTATATAGGGCGGCTCGCGCGCGACGTCACGGCGCGGCCGCGTCGTTCCATTGGCCGCGCCGCATGCAAATGAGGGAATGCAAATGAGCGGCATGGTAATAGCGGCTGAGCTCAGCGCCGTGACGTCACAGCGCGAGGGGGTGGAGGGGGGGGGCGGTTACCGGGGGAGGATCGGGGGGACCTGGGGGGGGACAGGGACAGGGACAGGACTGGGACAGAGGGACAGGAACACAAGGACAGAGGGACAGGACGGGGATAGAGGGGCACAGGGATAAGGACAGAGGGATAGGGATAGGGACACAGGGACGGAGGGACAGGACAGGGACAGAGGGACAGGGATAGGAACACAGGGACAGGACAGGGACACAAGGACAGAGGGACAGGACAGGGACAGAGGGACAGGGACACAAGGACAGAGGGACAGGACAGGGACACAGAGACAGGACTGGGACAGAGGGACAGGAACACAGGGACAGGACAGGGACACAAGGACAGAGGGACAGGACAGGGACAGAGGGACAGGGACACAAGGACAGAGGGACAGGACAGGGACACAGAGACAGGACAGGGACAGAGGGACGGGAACACAGGGACAGGACAGGGACACAAGGACAGAGGGACAGGACGGGGACAGAGGGGCACAGGGATAGGGACAGAAGGACAGGGATAGGGACACAGGGACAGAGGGACAGAGTGACAGAGGAATAGGCACAGGGACAGAGGGACAGGACAGGGACACAGGGACATAGGGATAGAGGGACAGGGACAGGGATAGAGCAACAGGACAGGGACACAGAGACAGAGGGACAGGGATAGGGACACAGGGATAAGGACACAGGGACACAGGAGGAGATGAGGGGTGACAGTGCCACCCCCTGAACCCCCTGAACCTTCTGAACCTCCTGAAGAATGTTCCAGGTGTCCCTTGGAGGACATGAGAGGTGACAGTGCCACCCCCTGAACCTCCTGAACCATCTGAAGAAGGTTCCAGGTGTCCCTGCAGAACACAAGAGGTGACAGTGCCACCCCCACCCCACCTGAGGAGGTGGCAGGGGACACCTGGGACCTCCCAGCCCCACTCCAGGCTGGAGGAAGAACGGGATGCAGGAGGAGGTGGCACCAGGGCCGTGTCCCACTCCAGGAACCGGCCAGGACAAGCCAGGGCAGGCAGGGCTGGAGCAGCACACGGAGCCTCCAGGTGCTGCCAGCCAGCCCAGAGGGAGGGAGAGGAGAAACCCTGATGCTGTGGGAGATGCAGGAGCACCTGGAAGCCACCACAAGCCCAGAGAGCTCCTGCTGAAACTGGCCCCGAGCAAGAGAGCGGTGGGAGGGTGAGCTCTGGGCTTTGATCATCCATGGGAGAGCTCCTATGGAGGCAGGGCTGGGATCTCGGGTGGATATTCCCTGCCAGAGCTCCAGGATGGTTCCAAACCAACCTCCCCCAGTTCCAAACCAACCTCCCCCAGTTCCAAACCAACCCTGAGGTCCTGGGGGAGGACCTGAAGCCACAGCTCTGCTCTGATGGGCAGGAAAACGCCCTCTGCTCCCCAGGTGCTCGCCTGGCATCTCCAGATCAACGTGGGGTGGGAACTGGCACGGTGGGGTGGGAGGTTTGTAGTGGGGTTTGTTGTTTGAGGTGGAGTTGTGAGACTGGATCAGGTTGTTTAGGGTTTTGCCTGGTTGGGTTTTGTGGATTTTTAAGGTTGGAGGTTGTAGGGTTTTTTTTGGGGAATGGTTGTTTTAGAGATGGAAAAGGTTTCCTTACATTCAGTCTCAATCTCTTATTTTTCATTTGTGTTTTTGGTTTTATTACTGTGTGTGACAGAAGGGTTTGGTTTTATTTTGTTAAACTCTTCATGGGTGTCCAGAAGTTTATTTTAGATATTTTCAACAGAAGTGCTGGGAGCAGCTGGGATGAGGAATCCCTCTGGAAAATTATCCATGAATTGCTGACCCTTTTCTGTCCCACTAGAAAATTATCCTGGATTACTGATCCTTGGGGCCCTGTCCCTCTGGAAAATTATCCTGGACTTGCTGACCCTTTCCTGTCCCTCTGGAAAATTATCCTGGACTTGCTGTCCCTCTGGAAAATTATCCTGAGCAAGGGACAGCATCACCCACTTGTACCCCTAAAAGTGGGGATGGCCTGAGGTTTTCCAGCACCTCCATGTCTCAAAATTCCCAGTATTTCCCAGGATTCTGGGCTGTAATAGGATTTTTTTTTTTGAGGTCTTTTGCTTGCAGCCTGCAGCTGGTTTTATTCCTGCTCTGGTTTTATTCCTGCTCTGGTTTTATTCCTGCTCTGGTTTTATTCTTGCTCTGCACGAGGGATTTCCCACCCAGGGCTGTGAACAGGAACTGGGAATGAGACAGGAATAAGGGGAAGGAAAATGGAAATTTGGAAATTATTGAAAAGGGAATTTCAGAGCTCCTGACCCCATTTCGTGCCCAGGGCAGGCTCAGGTTTGAGAGCAGACACAGCCAAGGGTCCCCAAATCCTCCCCTCCCCATCTGCCACCCCATTCATGCCCAGAGCAGAAAAAATCAGGCAAATCTCTCACCACAAACCAGATTTGCCTTTGTAAGCTTTGAAATAAACCCAAGGATTAAAGTCTGAGGACTGGGGTTTTTTTCCTATTTTTTTTTCCTATTTATTTTTTCCTTTTTTTCCCTGAAGTCAGCACCACAAATGAGAGAGGCCTGGGAGAGCCCAGCACAGGCTGCAGGGGTTTGGATATTTTAGATATTCCAGAGGCCCCTGGAAGAGGCTGGATAAACATCCAGAGCTCTGAACACACCTGGGCACGTGGATCAGCGGGAAAAATTGGGAATCAAGCAAAAAAATGTGAATCCAGCAAAACCATCCTGGTGGGAAACATCCCCCATGTGCAAAAACGGCCAGAAAAACCAAATTTAATAATGTGAAAATAATTAATTAAAAATTAAATGAAATTAAGAAATAAAATTATTCTTAAAATTAAGAAATTAATTTTTAATAAATTAAAAAATTTAAACTAATTAATTTTAAAAATAAAATAAGAAATAAAATTGTTTTTAAATTAAAATTAATTTTAAGAAATAAAAAAGTTAAATTAATAAAGAAATGATTAATTTTTTAAAAATTAATAAATTAAAAATAAAAATTAAAATAATTTAATTAATAAATAAATTTACTTTAAAATTTAAAAATTAATAAACTAAAAAAAATTAAAATAAAATTTATTTCACTGAGCTGAGCTTGGCCATCCCAGCTGGGATCAGGGCTGGTTTCCCTCAGCCTAAGGAATTTTGGGATGGAATCCTCGTGCCCTGAGTCACTGGGTTGGAGCAGGAGCTCTGCTGCAGCCTAGCCCAGAACAGCTCTAATAACCAGGGCTATTAATTAACCATTAGGGGCTAACTGTGCTCATTAGGCACTGATGATGATGAGGATGATGAGGATGAGCCAGCCCCACCGGGCAGGTTCCCCTGGTCCCCCCAGGATGGGGGAAGTGGTGGCACCATTCCCCAAATTCCCATTTATTCCTGAGCACATCTGTGTTCATCAGGGCTCCTAAATCAGCTTGGCCCCGTTAAACCCTCCCAAGAGGAGATTTCCTGTGGGCTCAGGGCCCTCTAAGCGGGTTTTGTGTCCCTCATTTCTGCCCTTGGGGTTTTTAAGGCAGAGCTTGAGGCTTCGTGCAGCCTCTCAAAGAGCTCAGAGGTGTTCCAGAGCAAAGGAACCACCAGAAAAATCAAATTTGGTTTCTTTCTTTCTTATTTTCTCTTTCTTTCTCTTATTTTTCTCTTTCTTTCTTTCCTTCCTTCCTTCCTTCCTTCCTTCCTTCCTTCCTTCCTTCCTTCCTTCCTTCCTTCCTTCCTTCCTTCCTTCCTTCCTTCCTTCCTTCCTTCCTTCCTTCCTTCCTTCCTTCCTTCTTCCTTTCTTTCTTTCCTTCTTTCTTCCTTTCTTCCTTCCTTTTTCTCTTATTTTCTCTTTCATATTTTCTCTGAGTTTGAGGCTGTTCTGGCTGGGTTAGTTTTCCACCCTGCATTTAGCTGAGAGCATTTTTATTTCCATTAAAAAAAAAAAAAAAAAAACAAAAAACAAACCAACAAAAAAGGCAAACTCAATAAATTTCTGCTCAAGGATTGGCCAGGCTGGGGCTGGAACTGGTCTGACAGGAACCAGGAGCTCAGAGAGGCTCCCAAACCCCCCTGGGTACGCAAATGAGGCTCCAAAACCAGTTGAGCTGGAAATTTTACAATAAAATAAAAATAAAAATAAATTTAAATACATTAAAAAAAAAAAAGAAAAGGAGAACATTTGGCATCCAACCAAGGGTTAAACCCGAGCTGCTCACAGGGACTGAGGCTTTGCAAGTCAGCAGCTCAGGGTGTTTCATGTTCAGTTCCCACGCCACACTTGGACTCCTTGTGGCTTTGGTTTGTTTTTTTTTAGGGTGACGACACCCTCAGTCTGCAGTTTATAGGGCATGAGGCACAAACCCCAACCCCAAATGTCCTGGAATCCCAGCACAGGCAGCTGCCCACGCAGGGGACTCTGCACCCCCTGTCCCCAGCAGGAAAACAGCCCCAGAATTCAGAATTAACATAATTAACGTTCAGAATTAACAAAATTAACATTCAAATCCTGCTCATCAGCTGGGTCCCACTTGCTGATTTTTTTTTTCCTATTTTTTTTCCTTTTTTTTTTTTTCAGCACCACAGATGAAAGAGGCCTGGGCAGGTTCCTTCAGCCACCCCAAGCTTTGGGAAGGGTTTGAAGCTTATCTTGGTCCATTTGAGCTGCTTTTCTTTAAGTTTAGGTGGGAAAAAAAATCACTGGGAATGGGAATGGCTCAGAAATGTAAAAATAATGGATTTTTTGGGGTTTTTTTTTGAAGTCAGCACCACAGATGAAAGAGGCCTGGCCACCTCCCCTGGTGGGTCCCTGCAGCCACCCCAAGCTTTGGGAAGGATTTCAAGGTTATCTTGGTCCATTTGGG